CCCTACAGGTGCTGGGAACACCAACCCGGGAACAGATTCGAGAGATGAACCCCAACTACACGGAGTTCAAGTTCCCCCAGATTAAAGCTCACCCCTGGACAAAGGTGGGGCAGGGCTAGGGGCTCAGGCAGCATGACTGAGGTCCCCATTGGAGGCCAACCGGTCTGGGGACCTGGCTAGAGTCATGGCTCAGTAGTGGGTCAGTAACTTTCATCACATTTCAAAGTTTATGGAATGTCCCATACTCTAAAAGTCGAGGACCCACAGTAAATGCAAGAGTCCTGTTTTTCTGGTGGGGAAACACGCTCATGGCAGGGCCCATACAGTCATGGGATCTGAGCGGGTTGCTCATCTGATACAAACTGACCTCCCCTCAGAGGCCGGGCCTCAGTTGCCTCATGTGGAAAGTGGGCTTGTGGGAGGTGGGCAGGAGTATACCAGGACCCAGGGCGTCTCACCCTTGTCACCTCTGCCCCCTCCACCCCTCCAAGGTGTTCAAATCCCGAACGCCACCTGAGGCCATCGCGCTCTGCTCTAGCCTGCTGGAGTACACACCGTCCTCAAGGCTCTCCCCGCTGGAAGCCTGTGCCCACAGCTTCTTTGATGAACTGCGATGTCCTGGAACCCAGCTCCCCAACAACCGCCCGCTTCCCCCTCTCTTCAATTTCAGTCCTGGCGGTGAGGGCACAGCCTGGGATCTGGGTTGTTGGAGGGGCAGCCAAAGACTGTGAAGAGCTTGGTGTTGAAGACAGGAGTGGGGAGCTGAGGGTGGGCTGCAAGGCAGTCCTGGGGCTCAGGAAATACCCCCGATTCTGGGAGACCCAAACCGATTTCATCTGCACTCTGCAATCCTCCTGTGTCAGGCTCTTGCCAGTTTTTCATTTAAAGTGTTCAGTGGCTACGTGTGTCCCAGGCAACTGGCCTTGCCCAGGGCTGGGTCCCTATTTGGTGCCCCTTTCTAACCCCGACTGGGTCTCCAGGTGCCCTATCCCCTGACTAGGCACGTCCATTCCTGTCTCTAGAACTCACCATCCAACCATCTCTCAACGCCATTCTCATCCCTCCTCACTTGAGATCCCCGGCGGGCACTGCCTCCCTCACCCCATCCTCACAAGGTAAGTTGGGGGCCATCTTCTGAGCATTAAAGCTGCATTTCTCTGCCTGGGGTGCGGATGGGTCTGTTCTCTGTTCTCACAACCACTGCGTTTCCTGCAAAATTGTAGACATTCTGACAGAAAGCATTACATGTGAATGGCCACCTTTGTGAGGCATTATTGCCTGTATTTGTGTTTAAATGCAAACTGGAAAACCAAAGACATAAGTTTAGCCTGCACAAACAAACAAAAAGTTAAATTTGTTGCTCACGGTAAAAAACAGGGGCCATTTTATGTACAAATCCAGATTTCCTGTTTTTCTTGGGGAATAAAATAAGACTGGGCAGCAGTGGGCCTGCCTCTGCTCAGGGCAGTATTACCAGCTGGAGCTGAGTTCCAGCTGCCCCTGTTCTGTGGGGCCTGGCTTTCTGGCGAGTCACTCAATGACCAACCTGGCCCTTTGGCATTTGAGTTTGCAACCCTAGACCTAAAGTGACAGCTTTCCATTTCTAATGTAGCA